GTATGTATGTATGTATGTATGTATGTATGTATGTAATGTATGTTATGTATGTATGTATGTATGTATGTATGTATGTATGTATGTATGTATGTATGTATGTATGTATGTATGTATGTATGTATGTATGTATCTGTATGCTTGTACAATAGTTAAATAAAAAATCAACACACAAAACACACGAATAAAGAAGCCGACGTGTGCGTGTGTGCTTATAGAGAGAGAGAGAGAGACGTAGCCAGAGTCGTCTCTCCGTCCCTCTCTCGCGTTCTTTCTCTTTCTGCCTCTTCTTGTTTGATCACTTTCCATACGCTCAGCTCACAAGACTCTTCATGGCTTTGGGCTTTGGGGTGCGTTCGTGTTCAGAGTGTACTCCTAAGACTCACAAACCCTCAAATCTCTCGAGAACCCCAACTTGCGAACCCGAAAGCCTAACCAGTCCCACAACGCGAAAGCCCTAGTGTCAATTGTTGTTTGCCTGCAGCTTGCAACTTGCAAGCCGTGAACCCGAAATGCGGAATGCCAAACCCTAGGCCCTGGACGTAACGCCCAACCTCGAACCTGAGGCTTGCGAAAAGGCTGCAGTGTGGGTTGCAGCCCTCGAAAAGACCAGCCAGCTGCGCTTCGTCCTGGTGTTGTACAATTTCCCAGGGCCTCTATCCGCTATGAAGTTATAACGAGCTAGTTCGAGTAATTGGTTATTGGTATTCAGATTTGGTATTTAGTAGTTATTTGAACTACTCCAGTGTTATTCACCGTCTCACAGCTACTTGGTCGAAAGCGTGGGTGTATGACTCAGGAACTCCCTTATGGGGCTGGCGCAGTTAAAACACAAGGGGAGGCACTTGTGATCTGAACTGCGCGCGTTGCTTACAGGTCGATGTAAGCTTCCCAAGTCTGATGAAACCAGGCCCGAAGACCAGCAGCTCAGCGCAGGCTTTAGGATTCAAGGCTGTGCGCTTGAACGGTGGCAATGACTTCCTAAGTCTAGTAGGCACATGAGGGCACATCGAATTCCGTCTTGCACGGCTTCAGGCTCAGATCTCAAGCACTAAACCCGGCTCCCGAGACCCCTAAAATTAGACCCAAGCCTCTGACCCTGTAGCTGCAGATTTCTCAACACCGATGCCCGAAACTGGGATAACTAGGGGACGGGTGTCCTCCGGTCCCTGAAGCTCGAAGCCGCAAGTTCCAAGCCCCGGCGGCGTTGAAACCTACGGGGACCTCGGTCCTGGAATCGTAGCCGCATCTAAAAACCCTGACACCGTATAGCCGCAACGCAAACATCCCAAGAAGCACAGGCGAGAAGTGCGACTTCGCTGCGACAGTATTTGCCTCAATACTGCCGTGAGCGCATGCTGCAAGGCTGACAGGCCTGCCCAGCAGTTTTTGCAGTCTCCGTAAGTTTCTTAGTTTGGAAGGTTATATCTGATCATGGTACTGTAGCTGTTGCTACAAATTGGCATGTTTTTGCTCTGGTGTGCACGGGGTACCGAATGAGATGGAATTCACATCATGCTGGAGAACCCTTTTGCAAAAACGGAGTTTTATCTCTTCGAAAGCTGCTGAAATTGTCGTGCGTTGTGAGCTGTCTTATATGTTTCTCAAGACTCTGAATGTGGAGCCATTTTCATGTTATGGATGCATCAGTCTTTTCCTGATGCTCTTGACCCAAGCCTGTTTTGGATTCTGGGTATCGAGACACAGGTGGGCCTGGGCAGTGCAGCTGTTCACCGGCATGCTGGAGATGCTCGTCTACCGAGTCGAAGGCTTTAGGGGCTTACAGGTTTTGTGGTTGTGGGTTGGGCTTGCGTTTAGGGTTCATAGCCTGATTTTACAGTGTTTGCCAGTTGAGTGAGAGTTTGGGTTTAGAGCTTGTGGGCGTGCGGTGTGTACGCATTTGGCTCAGCGCATGCTGTGGATGATGCTGTTGGTTATGACATCCACCCCGCGAGATTGATTGAGCGACATATTTACAAGTTTAACGCTGACTGCCGAAGCACACTTTTCGACGACCAAGTTGACAAGTATGGCCCTAAACCCTAGGCAAGTTGGCCCCGGGTTGAACAGCTCGAGCCCCGCCGGCGGGTGCTCCTGCTGCAATGGCCGACTCCTCTGCAACAGCGTAAGGCATAGACGGAATTCCTGCAGTAATTTGATAATGAAAAGCCTGAAGAGAAGACACTTCTGTTTGTTGCTCCACACCCCTGAAATAGCGATGTTTAAGGATACATTACCTCTGTGAAGAATGTCACTCGACTTCACAGCTTGGTGCTGGCCGAGACCACCATCTTTTCATTTCTGTGGCGCTGACAGTGCTCCAAACCGGCAACATGTTTTGCGGAGCGGTTAAACAATCCGCAGAAACCCCAACCTGTAAATCCTGAACGCAGCGAACATGGACCTTTCCAGTCTCATGCTTACACCATGCCAGCCGCCACGTGCACGACCAGAGCAACAAGCTGGGTTGTGCTTTCGCGGCACAATTGAAGCGTCCCTAAGCAAAAACATTTGCCTTAGCCGTTCCGCATCTCCTTTTCCTGGTTTGCACCCAATGCTGTCTCCATGAGCAGATCTCCGTGTGTTGCAAGTAGTCAGGTCTCAGAGACGTGGTGGCCTTGCCGCCAGCGCTACACTAGCAGCTGCAGCCCGTCGAAGGGCATGGAGGCCGGCGTTTTGCAGGAATTAGACTACTTTGGGTTTGGAACCTCCAGCGGTTGCACCCCGTTTGGGGTTTTGGCTTTCAGGGTAAAGGTGGGCAAGACCGTGATCTCAACTCATGACTGAATCAAGCCTGGAGTATTTGGTTCGTCGTGAATCGGGAGCGATTCGGTAAGCAAGCAAGTCGTTCCTTGTTGGATTGATTGATCTGCTCATTAGTAGTCGTAATCAGTTTTCACTTACTTGACTTGAGGCTGTAACATATACTAGCCCATTTTTCGTCATACCTGCATCCATCCTGTCAGCTCCCTTTCGGGTGCCTGACTTCGGGACGAGTATCTCAGCTAAGCTGGCTTGTAGGGTTTATGCTATTTCGGCTGCTAAAGTTCTGGATTTTCGAAGTCGTAGGGCTTCTGCATGAACTAGGGAAGCCGGCGAGTGCCCAACAGCTCTGAACCTAAACCCCTGAACCCCAAAAGATCCAACGACTCTAAACTTTAAACCCTATAGGCCCTACGCCCGGTCAGAGCCAGAGCTTGCGCTGATAGGATACGCTTTGCTGCTAGCGCACTAAACCCTCAGACGTATACCACAGGGAAGTTTTAGGGCTTGGGCCTGAAGATTCCAATGCTAATCACAGACCTTAGGTAAACGAGTCTTGAAAACTCCACTGCTGTGTCTCTCTGCTTTTGGTCATGGTGTCTTGAAGGCTTTGCTGTTGACATCTGTCAAGCTGTCAGATCAAGATCAGAGCCAGAATCAGGGCGATAGCAAGCGGCAGATGGCTCCACTTGCCACTTCATAAGACCTCAAGGAATGCAAAGTGGCGACTGGCAGTGTCACTGCGCCAATACAAGTGCTGCAGACGAGACCTCAGGAGAAAACAATAAACTCGCCTCCGCAGGGGGTGTCTTGCTTTTTATTTTCACTTTCCGGGCCTAGATGAAAGACCTTCAGCTCAGTACTTTGTTCTTGTTCCGGGTGGTCCCGATGTTCCCGATGAAGCGGGTTACTATTGGAGCGAATCGCAAAAACTTGACCTGTTCTTCCGTGTTCAAGAGAACGTGGGTAATCAGCCACACCAAGCAGCGGTTGGTTCCGGTTGCAACCTCGCAGGACCTGGCGCATTGGAACATGACGACTGGCAGTGCGAAGGCACCTGTACAAGTGCTGCCGATGAGGTGTCAGGAAATAAGAAACAAAGTTGCTTGTGCTAAAGACGTCGCTCTGTATATCTTCACCTTCCAGCGACAGCTCAAAGACCTTTCTGGATGCTACGAATACTTCTGCCAGTACAACAAGAGCCCTTGCTTCAAGCGCTGGCGGGCGCTTCGGCACTTCCTGATGAATTCCGGCGAAGGACTCTGGGTCATCCGAGGCAAAGACTGCAAGGACTTGGACACAAGCAACAATCTTGTGCATTTTGTAGGCCCAGACAAGAGCATGGAGCAGGCCCGTTGCGAGGTGGTGGACAAGTGGCGTGAGCCCGGCGTTCGCAGGAGTTCCGGATGCTTTGCGATCTGGCGGGTTCATACACCTCCACCTCGAAGCAGCAGGCGTCACGAGTCCAAAGTTTTGGACACGGGAGGGGAACTTGGCGGCGAACTTGGACTTCATGGTGTAGGCATACCGACGCATTCCCGATGTCGATCACGACCTCGTGGATTTGTGCGCTTCGCCCAAGATGGAGCGCCGAGTGCGCCTGCTTCATCTTCCACGCCGCCCGCGAGCCTCTCGCCATTCCAAGGACAAAGCGGCGGGTATGCAATGGCTATGAGATGGAGGACGTGCGAACATACTTCGTCACCGAGGTGCATAGTCGCAGTCAGCGCCCTTTTGGACAAGACACGGCGAGGACTGCGACCTCAAAGTGATCTGCGGCCCTCTGGTGGCGCTGGGCTCTTCATGCCCCGAAAGGGGGACCACCTGCTAGACCTGGGAAGCCATATCGGGTCGGCCACGGCGTGGAATGGCACAGCCAGCAGCAGGCGCCTTCGAGATGCTGCAGGAGAACTTCGGCCAGGAATCACGAGTACAGCTGCACAAAAAAGCAGTCGTCCACGAGACGTGATCGCCGGAGACGAAAGCAAAGGCGGCTTTTGCGGACGAATGGAGCGATTCCGTCGTCGTTCCAGTCGCCGGCGGGCACTTGTACTTGAAAGAGGTTGGGGGCTACCAAACCCTCGCGATGGCCACTTCCTTCGGGCTTGTCCGAGTCTTGGGCCCAAGCTCGTTTTGGACAAGCGCGAGAAAGCCACGACCTTGGAGCAGCGGGTGGAGGCGAGCAGGGCAAGGCTGCCAGTTCTTGAGTTTCTGGGACTGCACTTGGAAGGGAGTTTTAAGATTTTGCGGAGGTAGGGGTGGTTCGTTTCGGAGTTAGCTAGTGAGCACGTGTGTGGCCGACTTCCCAGCTGATGATCAGAGCCTGGGTTCAACAAACTAGTGAGTGAGTGAGTGAGTGAGTGAGTGCATGAGTGAGCGAGCGAGCGAGTGCGTGAGTGAGTAAATGGAGGGAGTGAGTGAGCGAGTGAGTGAGTGCGGGAGGCGTGAGTGAGTGAGGGTGTGAGTGCTTGAGTGCGTGAGTGAGTGAGTGAGTGAGTGAGTGAGTGAGTGAGTGAGTGAGTGAGTGAGTGAGGCAGGGAGGGAGGGAGGGAGGGA